TAAGTTCACTCATGTTCTCATGGATGGAGCGTCCAGTCACCTGAGAACTTGCATCATCATTTTTGGTAACCTAGAAAAAACCCTGAGGAACTTATTACACCATTACATCCAGTTTTTGAGACCTATGCCCCTCATCTGACTATCAGAGTGATCATCTCATCAGACAAACTTGTGGGCTTAGACCTAAAGATAATGTGTTGTTTAAAATTATGTAAGGCATGTAATGTGTTTTCATTGAATCCTCCCCTCTACCTCCCTCTGGTCCACCTCCAATCATATGGGGAAAGTGTCAGTTTTCTTGAGGTGATGTGGCCCTTAATAGGCCCTCAACGCTCCGATACGCCCATGTATATATTTTCTGTACTAAGTAGTGTTTTTCTTGTTTAACATAGACATAAGCTTTCTAAACTGTAATTAGTTAAGAAATGTAGTTTTTGTTTGTTTGTTTGTTTGTAGAAATCAATCTGGAAAACAAAGGACTAGGAAAGATCAATCTAGAGAATGAGTTACTGAAGAAAGGTGGCTTATGGTGTTTCAGATTTGACGATGAGTACTACTCTGCCACTGGCTACTTACTCAAGTCCTTGGCTCCTCCCATGTCAGCAGGTACAGGACCTCACTGTTCTGTCTTAGAAGAATGATCATTATCGTGCCCACCCTGGTCTTCCAGGTTGGTCAGAGGGAAAAATGTGAAAAAGTGTTCTGTGAACAATAGAATTTTAAACAAATATCCACAATTATCATGTTCTTATCCATTTTTAATATCCTTTATTTCCCAAAAGTCTGAGGGTCTGTGAATTATTATTGTGTCACTCAAAATTAGAAGAACATTTTAGAAACCAAAATTTTAGGCACAGAAAAAAAAATTGAGCTGTGAAATAGAGAAATGGCATTGCTTATAAAGGCTGTCACTCTGAAAATGAAGAAAGCAGTGTGGGTTTGGAAAGAGGTTTAGATAGTTTTCTTTTGTCACGTACAAGCCAGGCATGGGTATGAAAAAGGAATAGAGAGAGAAGTATTAATTACCTCAAATTATTTGAAACAGAAGTAATGTAGATTCTTATGGAAATGTACAGCTTATAATTAATAACTATCTCTAGACGAAGGGTAACAGTATTCTTACTAAGAGTTTGAACAGCAAGGCAACACTCTAAACTATATGACTCACCTTCAAGTATAATGGAATATATATATTCCATTAGTCTGTGTGTTATGCGTTTGAAATAATCACTGCTATTGGATGGTAACTTCTGTTTCTACAATACTTGATCTGGATAAACATTTTTTTTTAATGGTGTATGCTCTGCATCCAACTTTTGAATAATGGAATGAACATTAAAAGGGTTTCTGCTTTAGAACTCTGCAGTAACTAGCTGAACAAATTCAAAATCCAATGATGTTTTATTTCATTATAATTATAAAAATGTTAAACTCTCTGGGTCTCTTCCCTGGTTAAATGAACATATTAAATAAATTGCTTTCCATTTGAATCTGCTATTAGTCTATGAGATATCATGTTTCATTCCCCATGCTGAAGCTGAAGGTATTTTAGAAAAATAAAACCTTCCTTATGTTCTAAAGATAAGTGAACATGATAGCAAACAGGTGTAAAACTTGACAATTATGCAAATATAGTAGATGACCAAGTAAATACTATATTGACAAAGGTTAAATTGTCCTCACTAATCTTGGACTGATTGACTTCCAAACAATGTCTTTGGAGATCTACTTCTCTTGTCAGGTAAAAGGAAGCATTTTTATTCTCTACTTTTTCTCATCCATGGGAACCATCTACTTTTGCATACTGGAATTTGATTTCCTTTTATTTTGTGACCAAAGGATGAAATCCAGGAGGTTTCCCTTGCTCGATATCATTTTATGCAAGGGGTGAGATGCTGTGCTTTCCCATGTCCAGATGTTACCCACTGAAGTTTTCCTTAATGTTCCTGTATAGCCAGTATAAGAGCTTCCTAATGACAAGGTTGAGAAGTTACATTGCTGAGTTTAGTGGTTATTGTTGTATTTACTTCCATATATCAAAGAAACAATTCATAAATAGTTCAACACTCAAAACAAAAGCCATGTAGACTAGTTCAGTGGTCTGTGGACATTGTTTCTTAATATTGGTTAGAACCATATACTTTTACATAAATTACCCTTTGGGGACATCCTTATTTAGCCTTGAAGTAGGAGAACATTTTTGACAATTCTTCCTTTTAATGATCTTCAGATCCACCACCTTAGCAAGAACGTTTAACTTAAGAAATTCCTTAGGTTACAAACCTTTCTGATCAACTGTGTCAGCTTGCACCAAGCACCAATGTTATGTTAAACAGTATTTTTACCCCAGAGCAAGTGAAACAAAAGAGTAAGGGAACATTGCAACTTCAAACCTCTTTGGGGACAGAAACAGGACGTGTGAAAACTAGGAACCAAGAATCAGTGAGTTCATTAGTGACTGGTAAGCTGATCACCTTTTCCTCGTTCCAAAACTGCTGCCTTAGATAGCAGGTAGTACACTAAACCGTTAGCAACAGCAACAACTACAGCCACCAAAGAAAAGAATTCCACCTACTCACCAGTATTCTAACTCAGCACTCTGCCTATGACTAGCAGCACCCTGAAAATGTGGTCCCTTTCGGCTTGCCTTGTCACAAAGCTATCTTTTCCAATAATGCTACATGCCTGGGGAGACTATGAGAGGTTAAGTCTTCCAGCTATGCCTGTGTGTGCATTACTGAGCATGGGTTACCATATCACCAAACTCACTGGTACATGCTGACACCACCCAGGGCCTGGGGTGTCAGTATTTCTCAGATCCAAGCGGGTGCATTGCTGACATACAAAATATGTTTAAGAGCTTTGCTAAGATTAAAGAGTGAAACTGCTGTTCTTAGCTGTTATTGATTGTGATTTAAAATTAGGCTGGGTAAGATTTAAGGATGTATGTGTTTTGGTCTGAAAGTTTCCCCAGAAAGGGTCTGGGTGAAAGCTGAAATCCGTACTGCAATGCTACATTAGAAAGGCGTTTGAGATGGGAAGCTGTGCATGTATGTGCAGCCTTCTTTCTTGCTCAGGAAGTGAAGTGCTCCCTCAATAACGAGTCCAATCTGTTTCAACAGCAGCACTTCTAATGAATAGAAGAAAAGCAAATGCAACAGCTTTCCTCACAGTAATAAATCATTGTGTTTTTTGTATAGATTGCATGTGGCGACCGAGGCAGCGCAAGCCAGGCTGCCAATATTGCTAGCTAATGCCTCAGCTCCTTTCATTTTTCACTTCGAGCAAGAACCCTTTCCTGAAACTTGTTCATTTCACAGAGGGGAAATCGAAGGCACTGGCAGACTGTCAAGCTGCTTTATTGTTGTCATTTACAGGTCGCTGGAATTAATTGACTTCTTACGTTCCATATTGTAAACGGAGTCATTTTTTTTTTTGACACATTTATGGAAAGGTGGCAGGATCTAAGTGGCTGCTTATTGTCTTTCTGTCCTGGCATCTGTTATACACTCAGAAACCAGTAAGTCTGAAATCACAGTTTGGGAAAAGAATAGCACCCAGTTTGAAAGCAGCAGACTCCATTAACTGTGAGTTGAACTAAGAGAAGAAGTCAAAGAGCTGCAGCAGATGAAATATAAATGCCGGGCTTGTTTTCATGTCTCCACAGCACCCTTTAGCAGGGGCAGCGAAGGCTCCCACGGCCATCCTAAATTGCTGGTATCTCTTTGAAAGCATATTCTAAGTAGCCGGCTTCCTCGTACAAGACTGGAAATAAAAATCAGTTCAGAGAGTAATCTGTGAGTCATCACTACATGGATGCCCAGAGAGTTGACTGACAGTAGTTCTGTCTCAGAGGCGTTGCTTCTGCAACTGAAGATGAGGACCTCAGGGCACAAGGAATATTTGTTGTACCAGGGCACACTTTTCCTGATAGGTATTTGTAGTTTTTACTTGTCTTTTTATTTCTCGTGCTGTGGTCTCCTTTTCCCTTAACTAAGAAGATTCTCACTCATGGTCATAGCCTGCTTTCACTAAAATTAGAGGCACTGAAACAAGGACATATTGTTAAAAAGGAATAAATTAGAGCTGAATTAAGCCATCCAGCTCAGTGAGAGCAAAGGGATTATTACAGTTGGTCTAAAGAAACAATCTCTGTAAATAGGAAATAGACTTTGAAGCCATCCTGACCGTCTGTGGTCCTGTTAATTACCAAAGATTAGAACTCTTGTGGTTCATAGGCTCCTTTTACCTAGCATGTAGCTCCTTGTGCTGCATTAGCAATCAGACGTTTGCACTGTCCCTTCAGACCAGCCAAGGGATGGGATGTTATTAAAGGGAAGTCATTTACCACAATCGGTGAAATGTAGCCTGGCAGAAATTCAGTAACTGTTTGTGATATGCTCATTCTGCTACTCTGCCTGGTGCCTTTCACTCCTGACACACAACAGCATTCACCTTAACCTCCATCCACCGGGGCAGGGGCTAAAATGCCTCAATGGCTCCAAAACAGAGAAACACAAGTAATCTGCTTTTCATTACAAGTCCTGTGAAGAAAAGGACCCCAGTCTTTCCCTCTCCCCTCACACGTCTGTTTCTCTCTCCTTCCCCTCTCATCTTGTCTCCCTGCTTCTCTGTCTCCTCCTCTCCCTGCTTCTCTCTCTCACACACACACTCTCTTCTCCCCTTGGGTCCCCTTCTCTCCTCTCTCCCTCCTCTTTCTCCTCCCCCGGCACCAGCACCACTCTTTCTCTCCCCCTCACACCCTCTGATGGGCATTCAAGCTAGTAAAATGCCTGCTTGAGAAGCTCACGAACACAGCCAGGCACACACACAGAGCCGGAGGGGTTTGCATGTTCACTCAAAAGTGAAATGCAAAGAAAAATGCCGTTAGAATTCAGGCAAGGAGGAAACATCAGAGGAGAATTGACGTGTAAAAATGCAAGCATCCACAAAACACGAATTAGAGAACATTTAAATAGATAGGTGTATTTTAAACTTACCTTGCATTAGCAGATACAGGCATAGCCCTCCTCCCATGTCCCTGCTTGCTCAGTCCCTTGGTTGAGGTAATCACATGGCTGTCTTCTTACCCCAGTATAAGTAGGTGCACATGTATGTGTAATAAGTATACACACTTGTATACTATAGATGTGCACACATGCAAGCAATGGTATCTCTCTCTCTCTCTCTCTCTCTCTCTCTCTTTTTTTTTTTTCCTCCCTGAAATATAAAGGAAGGCAGAAGCCCGCAGCTAGGATTCCTTCTTTTGACTGGAACTCTCCCAGGCAGCAGGCTGAGGCTCTCAATCCAGTGAAGAGAGATCCTGCTCGCTGGCTTTATTTCTCCTTGTTTCCATGGTGGTTAGTGGTGCATCGTTCACCAGATCAGTTGTCACACTGACATGGTGCTGCCTGCTCAGCGGTCATTAATAACTGAACACCCTCCACTCCCCAGAGAGGAGCCAATCGCTTCAGACTGCCAAGATGTAGCACTCGCAGCTGCTCCAGCCTGGTTGGCTGAAGCAGCCTGTCTGTCCTATGACAGCGCTGCTTAGGGTACAAATAAATGAAACGGGCTTGAATATTTTTCCTTGGAATCATTTTCCCCACCCCCTCCTTTCTTTCTCCCCCCCCCCCTTGTTTTTTCCTTTTGGAGGAATGCGCAGGGATTTCCAACAAGTTTTCCCATTTGGGGTGTTATCAGTCATTTGGAGAGACTGTGGGTTTTTTTTTTTTCCCGTCCTCCGAGAACAGACAGGAAACATTTATGAATAAGGAGTTCCTGAATATTAACACTTGGTAGCAACTCCACTCCCTGCCTGTGAAGTTAGGCAGTGGCTTTATGTTTTATGAGGTCAGCCTGCAGCTCTTCTGTTTGCTTCCTCCAGGTCCTACTTAATTTAGCCTGCGTGCTGACAGTTAATAGTATCCTTTGTCTTTCAGTTTCTTGCTTGCCCCCACCCCCCTTTGTTGCGCTTGCTGATGTTTTGGCTTTGGGGGATTTTTTTTGGTGTGTGTTTTTTTGTTTGTTTAGGTTTTAGGTTTTACAGTGACATTCTTATCTTCACTGACCAGACTTTTAAAATTACAACAAATATTTGCTTCTCCAAACCTCACAGCATTGGTATGTGAGGAAGCATTTAAAAATAAACTTTTTCAATTATAACTTACTTCTCGGCTTGTGGGAGAGTAAATCTGATACCACGCAATGGATACGGATGTTGCCTTGCTTGTGTGTATACCCGTGTGTGTTTCCCATGTATGATTTATTACGCAGGTACGCTTTCCACTACAATAAATTGAGCACTCAAAATGATTCTTTTCATTTTTAATGAAATAGCTTATTGGCTATTTCACCAGTAAAATATTCTAGATAAGCATTATATGTAAAACATTTTGAATATTTAGGCTAGAAACCACAGCAGCATAGTCAATACACCTATGACGAGTAGAATGTAAAAGGCATGTTTTTCAAACAGTGCTGGAGAAACCTCTTGAGAGAAGTGCAACATGGGGATCAATTTTCAACAGGTTAAAGCTGCTTTATCTGTGACTCCAGCCCTTGCTTTGAAAGACTGCCCTCTAGCGGACAGAAAGGAAATGGCATTTATTAGATTTACTGGCGCAGGGGTCGGGGAGAGGTGGTGGTGGAGGCAACACAAAGCGTTAGCATCAAATTGTTCCTTAGGGTGTCTATTGAAGTGACTTAGAGCAGTATCCTCCGTCACAGCCGTATGCCAGGAAACTTAGCCTCGCTAGTATTGGCTCTGACTACCAACTGTCTTCGTGTTGTAGTTTGCTTTACCAAAAAATGAAAATAAAAAGTAACACGATTGCTTTAGTTATTTGTTTTATTGATTAATTGGTCAGTGGAGATGGGGCCTTAAACCTCTGCCTAGGCACTTTGAATGCTGGTATCGCAGGTGTTCCTCAGAATTGATTTTATTTTTAGGAAATAACTCATAACCCTAACCTTTCTTTATAAGAATGAGTTCCAAACAAAAGTAGCTTCTTCTTTGGCCAAATGAGTCATGCTTCTGAATGTTATCCTCTCACCAGACACTCACCAGGTACTTGAGCATCCTCTGGAGGCACACCTGTTGATGCAGCCGGTGAGGGGGGAAAGTAAGTGTTGGGGGAGTGCAGCTCTTGTAAGTTAATAGCCCCCAAGTTCTACTTTCTCCAGTTGGAACATACTGATTTTTTGTAGTCATTTTCAATATTTGTAGGGTTTACTTACACCCATAGAAGAATTGTATTATAATTGTACCAACTATTTTGAAAAATATCCTTTCATATTTTCCTGATTCCTTAACCATTTTGATTGATTGGCACTGGTTATATAATTGACAAATTCAGTAATCTGTTGATTGTTATAGTCATTGATCATAATATTCTCCCATAATGAAGGTAAGTTGTGAGACTCAAAGAGATACATGATAAAATCACTTTTTAAAATAAAATTAATAATCACATAAAATAGTTAAATTCAAACTTATTCATAAGTTAATGAAAATGTTTTTAGAATTTAGTTGGAATTGAATACCATTTTTAAAGCTGCCTTATACTGGGCCATGGAGGCACACACCTTTAATTCCAGCACTTGGGAGGCAGAGGCAGGCGGATCTCTGTGAGTTGGATACCAGCCTGGTCTACAAGAGCTAGTTCCAGGACAGCTTCAAAGCTACACGGAGAAACCCTGTCTCAAAAACAAAACAAAACAAATAAACAAATAAAAGCTGCCTTATATAAAATAATTTCCTAGAAAATTATTTTGACTAAATGTTCTATTTTCAAATGTAAGGAATGAGATTACTCTTTAACATAGGTACATGATAAATCCAAAGTATATTGTACTTGCTTTAAGTGTAATATCATAGGGCATTCAAAAAGAGATTTCATTCGAGGGGAAAAATAACTCTGGCCCTGAATGAAGAAGATGAGAGTTCTTTGGCTGTAGTTTTCCTCCTGCTAATAATATCAGCAGCTTGGAATTGAAGTATCTTGGAGAGTTTCTTAACTTGCCACGGAAGTCAGTCATTCAATGCAATACCTTTATGTGTCGCTTTTGTAGGATATCCAGCTGTGGATGATTAAGGATTTTAGGTCATTAGACATCCTAAAATTGTTGGTTATCATCAGAAAAGAGCCATGATATCTTGGAACCTGAATATGGTTCTCAACCTGTAGGTCAAGACTGTTTTGATGGTCAAACAACCCTTTCACAGGGGTCTCATATCAGTTATCCTGCACATCAGATGTTTGCATTATGATTCATAACTAGCAAAATTACAGTTATGAAATAGCAACTTAAATAATTTTCTGCCTGGGGTTACCACAACATGAAGCACTGTATTAAAGTGTCTCAGCATTAGGAAGGCTGAGCACCACTGTTCTGGAAGGTTTAAATATTACACATAGCTGTTGTAAGAGTAGGTAGACTGTAGGTAGAATGCCTCAACTCCTGAGCATCTCTCACTCAGCTCTGCCACCACGTCATCTAGTGGGTGATTGACAGATCTGCTGTTTCTTTTCACTGCTTCTTCCTTTCTCCTTTCTCCCCTTCTTTCTTTTTGCATTTCTTCATTTGCAAAAGGTTTATAGTAACTAGCAGAAATTATACATTATAAACTCATAATTTAATGAGTGTACATTTTATCTATATTGTGTATCTGTATTACTGCAGTTATCAAATGAATATTCAATATAATCAAAATGACTTACAAGGAACTTAAATGTGTGAATGCATAATTAATCCTTAAATTATGCTGAAAGAGTTTTGCGTTCCTCATCGAATGTAACTATCTTAGGATGGACTTTTGATGGAGTCAGTAGCTGGAATTATTAATGTGAGATGTGCTTGCAGGCACTCCCCCTTAGGACTTGTTGGCCTGTGTATTTTCCTTTGAGAGGCAGTCAGGGCAATGAGCAGCCTGTAGGGTTAAGGCCAAGTGATTGGCTATGAGTCCTTACCTGCTTTCTGATCCGTGACCAGAGCATTGTGTTAAGTGTCTCTGTGAAGTGTCATCTTGGAGTGAAGCTTAAGTAGCATCTTGGCATCTCATTTTCCTCCAGGAATCATCTGAGGATTATAGTAGCTGATACCTCCACAGAAGAGGTCATAGAGTGTAGGAAACCCTCCCAAAGGCTGAGCTTCTTATCATTGTGGCCATTGCCAGGCATGCGTGTCAGATGCTGGTCTCATTCTTCTCACCATCCTCATTCTGCATCAGCACCATCGTTATTTCACTACAGACTTTCCCTTTCCCCTCTCTGTTCTACTCCTTGACTTTTTCCATTTTCCTATTCTTCAGCAAGCTCCTCTGGCCATGATTCACTAGTAGCTAAGACCTCTTGTTGGCCCACAGAAGCATACTCATTTCTTAACAATTTAGCACTTCTCATAATTATGTCTATGATTTTGCCTTCTTCCCATTTTAGTTGCTAATATTTTTATAAAGGGGGGCTTAATGCCTTACCATGTCTTTAAGCTCCCCTCCATAAGACAGTAAAACAGAGGAAACCCTTATTGAATGCCAGTATACACCTGGATTTGTTTTACAAGTTGTTAAACCTTGCAACATCTTCATAACAGATATTTTATCCCCATTAGACAATGTAGATACATGGCAAAATGTGCTTATCTGCCCAGTGTCCCCAAACTATTAAACAAGGGGGTCAAAATTTAAAATAAGTTCTGTCTGCTTACACGGTCAGTGTTCTGGCCACTGCACAAGGCACTCAATATTCATTTGTAAAATAAATGAATGTTTGATTGATAGCTTTGCCAACCAATTCAACGTAGTCAGCAACAAGGGATGCCAAAAATAAATTACTATTTTAAAAAAGGAATGAATTTTATACACTAGACAGTAGATGCTTTTGTATTGTATTGTATTGGTGACAGAATTTTATTGTTGTCATGATTTGAGAAATAAAGCTAAAAGAAATACAGGTGCCTAGTCAGAAATACGTACTGATATATCCAGAGGGCTAAATACCCATGAATAAGCTACTGATGGTATTGGGCTGACACTAGGAAGGTCTCCAGTGATTTGGCCCTTTGTAGATTAATGCTGAGAGCAGGTGAGTTCTCAGCTTGGAAACATGACTCAAGGTGAGCAACATTGGTTGATTGTTTCAGTGTTGAACTAAATCACATTGCATCACAGTTTTCATTTTCCTTTTCAAAGGAGATTTAGCTTGTAGAATTGCACATAAACCCTGAGGTCTTTTTTCCCCTCCCCATGTGATAATTTCTGTTTGTTCAAAAAACAAACAAACAAACAAACAAACAGCAAAGCCTTTGGTTAGGGACACAACTACACCAACAGACAACCCAAGAGAACATTCAGCAGGCACAGATTCAGATTCATCCAACAGACATATGAGACAGACAAAATCACGAAGTCTTTACTTAGCTATCATTTTCAATGAAGGTTTTGACTTCAGTTAAAGAAAAGAAGTAAATTTGTCACTCAGATTTACAACCAAGACCAGGAAAGTTGTGAGAC